ACCTGCAATTAAAGATAAAAACAATTATTAATGGTATATTTATTCATATAAAATAGATAATGAGGGTATAAAATTATAATAAAATATGATTATCAACTATCAACTTGTACATGTGTTCGCATCTCAACGATTCATGTAAACTCATTTGAAAAATGTATTATATTGTTCATGCACGTGTCTCGGTGTGCGGATTCAAGTTTCATGTTCACAAACGCCTCATGTGTCAAAATAAACAACAAACAACACATAACAATGTCCGTCTACTAAAAAATCCCTCGGTCAAACAACAAATTGTGCAAAACGTGCACATGCGCATAAAGGCTAGTTGGTCAACCGGCCACATATCTCCGGTCGACCGGCCAGAGATCAAATGCCTGCTGCCTGTAGGTTTTGTATTCGGGTGTCGTGTTTGCTTCTAACTCATTTAACTTGCTGTAAAACATGTAGAAAAACATTATAAACCATTATTTAACTTTAGTGATGATTATCTAACCACATGAACACGATTTATCATATTAGATGTCATATACAAACCCTAAACAAGTTCAAAAACATCAAAACATCATGAAAACCATCAAAGCTCGGTTAAAACTCTTGTTTAATTACTTTTAGATCTTATTCTACTCCAGAGAATTTGTTTGTAATTTTTAAACACAAAAAGATCAGGTCTTTATACCATATACTATAAAGGAACTATTTTTATGCACGAAAATAGGTTTCAGGCTCAATAAAATCAAATCAAAACTCAATAAAACAATTTAAAAGGGGTGTAGGGTTAGAAGAGATGATGCTCGCCTGAAATCTCTATTGAAAAAAACTCAAAAGGTGCAACCACAAACCAGATTCCTTAGCCCTCACGATCGGAATTTGCTTCTCAAAGCACTCGAACTTACAATAATAGGATCTAGGGTTTATGAGGGGAGATGGTGGTTGCTAGGGTTCAGAACGAATAATAAAAGATGTGAAAATTTCGTGAAAAAGAGGTATATAAACATTTGTATGAAACTGGGCCTCAAAAGACCCGTAACCAACTGCGACTAGGAGAACTTAAAATACGCCCGTCGGTCGACCGGTCATGGACTATCGGTCGACCGGCCATAGCATTTTCTTGCTGTGCATGTTTTACGTTCGTGCATGTTTTTAACTCGTTTCTCTCACATATATGAGCTTGTTTGATCTCAAATCACTTGCTATCATACTCATTCATCATTTAATGATATTTAATCACAATAAAATTCACTTATCACAATTAATCACATATTATCTCAATTTTTGCTGGGTTTTACATTCACCCCCTTTAAAAGAATTTTGTCCTTGAAATTCCACACTCATATCTTAAAGATTAATAATACGAGAAAAGCACTAAGAGGGAATAATCCAGATAAGGAAACCCTCCCGTACACATCTCGTACCATTAACCCCCAGATATGTATCATAAGCAAACATTTTAAACTTAACAATCTAAAATGCGTATACTCCCACTTAACCCCTAATTAGACGAAACTAGTACGTCGGGCGAAAAATCCAAACAAGGAAGCCCTATGTGTATAGCATATGTTCCGAGTGATTAGGAGCTAAGTATTAGTACCCCCATTCTAGCGTTAAATATAAATGTGGCTGAACATATAACATAGTCGTAAATGCATTAAAGAATAATAAATATCAGCATTTTACCTACTCAAATAGGTGTGGGTAGTCGCGACGCATATCCCCTCGTGCTCCCAAGAAGCTTCCTCAGCTCCTTTCCGGTTCCATTGGACTTTCACTAAAGGAATCACATTGTTTCTAAGCTTCTTGTCCTCTCTAGCAAGGATACAAACCGGGATCTCAACGGTAGTCAAATCTGTCTGAATCTCAATCTCTGGTGTATCAATCACCCTCGGCTGCTCCTCATCGCGCAAATGTTTCTTGAGCATCAAAACATGAAATACATCGTGTACACTCGACAACGATGCTGGAAGATCTAATCTATATGAAACAGCTCTAACACGCTCAACAATCCTGAATGAACCAACATATCTCGGGGCAAGTTTTCCCCGTCTGCCGAATCCCTGGACGCCCTTCATCGACGATACCTTCAACATGACAAAATCTCTAACCTGAAACTCTAAAGGTCGTCGCCTCCAATTTACGTAGCTCTTTTTTCGACTCTGAACGAAAAGAGTACGCTCTCTAATCAATGCTACTTTCTCCGTAGTTTGTCTTATGAGTTCTGGCCCAAGTAATAAACTATCCTCCGGCTCTGCCTAATAAATCGGGGATCTACAAGACCTCCCATATAATGCGTCATACGGTGCCATACCTATCATCGCCTGATAGCTGTTATTGTAGGAAAACTCTATCAATGGAATATGATCCTCCCAACTGCCTCGGAAATCGATAACGCATGCTCGCAGCATATCCTCCAACACCTGGTTCACTCTCTCCGTCTGACCATTCGTCTGCGGGTGGAAAACACTACTATATGACAACTAGCTGCCGAACGAATTCTAGAAACTCCTCCAGAAGTGGGATGTGAAAACCGAGCCTCAATCCGATACAATCATCTCCGGGACTTCGTGCAACCGAACTATCTCTCGGATAAAAATCCTCGCATAAGTTTCCGCCGTATAAGTCGTCTTCACTGGTAAGAAATGCACCGACTTCGTCAAACAGTCAACTATCACCCAAATGGAATCATTCTCTTTGCTCGACCTTGGCAAACCCACAATAAAATCCATAGAGATATCTGCCCACTTCCACTCAGGAATGGGTAAAGGCTGTAGGATTCATGCAGGTCTCTGATGTTCTGTCTTCACTTGTTGGAAGGTAAATCACTTAGCCACATACTCCGCAATCACCATACGCATTCCATTCCACCAAAAATGCCTCTTCAGGTCCTTGTACATTTTTGTTTTGCCTGGATGCACTGTATACTTGGTACGATGCACCTCGTCAACTAAGTCCTTCTTCAGCTGTGGGTTCCCTAGCATCACTAATCTGTCCTTCATTCGAAGACCTCCATCTACTCCAATAGTCCAATCAACCTTGGGCTCTTTAGAAATCTCCCTCTTTCGAGTTTGAATCCAAAAATCCTCTAGTTGAGCTCTGACCACTCTATCACTCCAAGATGACTGTACTGACATAGATCCCAAAAATAAACTACTCCTGCCAATCTCCGGCCTAAAGCCAAACTGGATAAGAGTTTGAAGATCTCAATACAACGAGCACCTCAAAACCGAAAGCTCGCGAGGACGCTTGCTGCTCCATGCGTTCGCTACAACGTTTGCCTTCCTCGGATGGTACTGAATCATGAACTTATAATCCTTAATAAACTCAACCATCGTCGGTGTCTCTGATTTAGCTCTTTCTAAGAGAAGAGGTACTTCAAACTCTGATAAATTATGAATAGCTCGTATTGCACGTCATACAAATAATGTCTCCAAGTCTTCAGTGCGAAAAATTACTACTGCTAGCTCCAAGTCGTGTGTGGATAATTCTGCTCATGAGTCCTCAATTGCCTTGAAATGTAAGCCACCACTCTTTGCATCTGCATCAAAACACCTCCGAGAATCGAAATGATATATCAGTGTATACATCAAAAGTCTTATAGACAACAAAAGTCTTATCACTGCTCGGGATGATCAACACCAGCTGCAGTCAACTTAGCCTTAAAAGTCTCAATGGCTTCCTGGTGCCCCAAACAAACTATACACCCTTCTTCGTAAGGTGTGTAAGTGGCGTCATAATCTTTGAGAAGTTTTGAATGAACTTTCTATAATAACTTGCCAATCCCAGGAAACTACGAATCTCTGTAACCGTCTTTGGCGGCTCCCAATCTAGTATTACCTCAACTTTGGCTAGATCCACTACTATGCCCTCTCTACTGATGACGTGGCCTAAAAATCTAACCTCTGATAGCCAAAACTTGTATTTGCTGAAGTTGGCGTACAAATGATGCTCCCGCAAAGTCCGCAATGCTAATCGAAGATGCTTCTCGTGCTCTGCCTCCGATCTCGAATAGATAAGGATGTCATCAGTAAATACAATAAAAAACTGGTCCAAGTATAGGCGAAAGACCTGGTTCAATACGTCCATGAATACCACGAGTGTATTAATCAGCCCAAATGGTATGAAAAGAAACTCGAAGGACCCATATCGAGTCAGAAAGGAGGTCTTGGGAATATCCATCTCCCGAACCCGCAACTGATAATAACCAGAATGAAGATCAATCTTCAAGAAGTCCTGCGCTCCTTGCAACCGGTCTAACAAGTCATCAATCCTTGGTAGTGGATACCTGTTCCGGATAGTGACCTTGTTCAACTCACGATAATCTATGTATAATCGCATGCTACCATCCCTTTTCTTCACGAAAAGGATCGGCACTCCGCACGGAGAATGACTCCGTCGAATGAAACCCGGAGATAACAACTCATCTAATTGGATCTGGAGCTCCCTCATCTCAGCAGGCGCCATATGATAAGGTGCTCGGGATATCAGTGTTGTGCTTGGCTGTAACTTGATGCCAAAATCGACCTCTCTAACTGGAGGTAAACCTGGTATGTCTTGGAAGACATCCTGATACTCTGAGACCACTTGTGTCTCACTCAAATCAGCACCCCGTTCCTGCATCATCACCTCCTCGACGTATGCTAGAAATGACTCTACAAACTGGTTGCCCCATGAGGTAGCTACCACCAACTTAGACCCATCAAATGATCGCAAGCTGTCTGTCTTTGCAAAACAGTCGATACTCATATGGTAGTAGGGATGTTAAATGGGTGGGTTTGGGTATTAAATGAGCGGGTCATAAATGGGCGGGCATGTTTTGCCTATTTACCCATTTATGACCCATTTAACATTATTTAAATGGGCGGGTTTTTGCCCGCCCATTTAATAAACGGGTCGCCCATTTGCCCATTTAACTATATTATGTATATGTATATAATACTTTTGGGGTGTTTTTTGTAAACTTTTAGGGGTTTTTTGTAAACTATTGTGTATCAGCAACACAATCACGATTAGTAAGGACAATCTACTTAATTACTTGATAAACTAGAAGAGTAGTAAGTTCGTCTATAAACAAAATAGTAGCACAACCATAGTCCACTTATTTCCCATCTTTCAAATGTTCAGGCATGAACAGGATCATGACAGAAGAAAGAAAAGACCAGGAAACAAACATAACACTCAGTTGGACTCAATAACAACATTAAGAGTGCTGCAGCAAGCCTCATATGTGCGTCTTCATAGCAAGGGTTAGAATCCGAAATCACCATAAAGACCTCAATATTTCCCCTGCATCAATCATCCATAGAATTAGTTAATTTTGCCGCAAACGTATGATATTGTCATAATAATGAAACACATAAGAGGAAGGTGAATAATTTGATTACAACGCATGGTCTTCAGAGTTCAGGCACAACATAATAAAAAGAGTTTCAGATACTCATAATCCTTTTGCTACATAGTTTTTTCCTCTTGCTTGCTGCTGATTTTTTTTCTTAGGTTGTGTATAAGAAAAACTAGGTAGCAAAAGATACGAAGGAAATTAGACTCCCAAGTTCCAACTAGCATAATGTTCCTAATTTTCAGTATAAGATATTGTGAAATATGGATAGGTTTCGGAACTAGATATTGTGAATGATTAGATTCTACTGTAACACATAAACAAATACATAGCGTATATATAAACATGGAAATAAACAGCGATCTGTCATGGGAAACTACATAGACTTTTTCCTTGTAATATGAGAAGTCATCCACTGCTTTCTTCACAATTACAAAGTAAGAATTTACAGTATCAAGATTCACTATGATAAAACTTAAGGGGCTTATTGTCGAAAGGTTGTAAATGGCGACTTTCAATTTCCATAACTTTGTAACCATCATAAAGCAACAGAATCAAGCTAAAATTCAATGAACTAATTTCTGTCCATCACGAGAACAAACCGTTGACACAATTTGATTACTACAAAAAGTCAGTAAAAGATCTCAGTAATGGAATTGCTTAAGACAGCCCACATCTTGTCTTCCAATAAATCTTAATTTTCTTTAATATGTGAATGTTTACAACTGATCTTACCATTTAACATGTAATTCTTTTAACACCCCCCCAAATACTAGAAAAAACCTACGTGGCATTTGAAGCCAAAGTGTAAAATCACTTTACCTTAATGATTATGCATGCTGGGTAGCAAAACCAGACTTGAAGCAATTTCAGCACCCACAAAAGCATGTGCACGTGTGTGTCATAGGGGTGAGACAAGTCATACGTTAAAACTAAATAATAGGAATTTAATCATTCGAAATAAAAGAAAGTGCGTATGAGATTATGTTTGGATAAATTTACCCCTTGCCTAAATGCAAGACATACGTCCCTTGCCATTTGCTTCTCACCAGGAGTTAACAGTACAGGATACCTGACCTGCAAACAAAAATGTTTCATTTACAAAGTGCAAGTTGATGAAATAAAATATAATATGAAAGTTCTACTAACTATTTACAGAGGTCAACTAGTAAACTAGATCAAGAGAATGCTTGAGGAGTAAGAATAAAGCTGTCAGTCCATGCATCCATCATTCAACAGAAACCGCCAGTATTCAAACAACTGCAGCATGTGGGAACAACAAAGTATAGGGCCACGACAATAAAAGGTAATAGCTTACTTCTTTCCCGTCAGGATTCCTCATAACAACACCATCAACAACTGGAGACTTGCATGCTTCTGCATGTGCATAGGAAAACCAGGTTTGAACACCAAAAGGGATCTTCGAACAAATCTCAGAAATTAAGACAAGAAATCAATTTTGGTTCAGCGTTTTGATTGCTTATGCAGGATAGAACTTCATAAATTGACTATGTTCTCACTAGGAGAAAGAAAGTAGTATAGGATATCTTGGCCTCGAGTGTTCTCATGTTAAACAGACTAGACATGCATGCAGTTAAATTTGCAATGCATAATTGAAACATAAAACACCTATATTGATGGGTTTTGAAAGGCTTTTTATCTAACTATAAGATATCATGTATTATGATAAACAAACGGCAACTACTCTGACAAAAATTGCTCAACAAAATTGACAACAAGAGAGTATACAAAACAGAGACAAGCGCACAACCAGGCACATGAACAGATCAGTCACAATTATTCCACATAACACGAGTGAGCGGGTGAGGGAAAATTCCACATCACAAAGTAAAATTAATATGTACCCAAGATAATGCATCAAATATCTAGATATGCGGGCATAAAGTACAAGAAAATTCTCAAAGTTAATATCCAACTGGATAGCGCATCTAATGGAGATACTAGAAAACAAATCATTGTTAGGTTGTAGATCATAAATCTTGATTTAATTATGACAGAGTGACTCAAACCACGGATCGAGTCATGAACAATCCTTCTTGCTTGATAATTATGCCATGCTTTTTCGATCCGAGAAAATAGTCTCCAGCATGGAAATAAACAAAGAAATATTTCGAAACACTTTCCAATAGAATCCTAAGTATACAATAACTTAATCCAACAGATACATTGGGGATATACTGATTCCCGTGCATATCTTATCGATCATAAGGTAAGTATTTATCCTCCACACAACAGTGTACAAGCTGAGAAGTAACAATGACAGTGGGCCTGAACTAACAACAATATACATATATAACTTATCTACTAAAAAAGAAAACCATAGCGAGTCTGGGAAGAGCCTTGAGACTAGAATTGGCAGCTACTCGTCCCACATTAAACTCAATTCATCCATCATATACAAAATTTTTGATAAGTACTCAAATAGAATTCCATAAATCTTCACAATTTTTAAGGAAATTGATAAAATTTAGAGTCTAGACAAACAAAAAGAAACCTACTATATAACCCTTAAAACAAAATGCTGGAGTACCAAGCCACCCATCAGAAATTTATTCAAGATACAGGCTAAACTTCACTGATGAAAGGGCATAAACAAAACCATACTAAACTTCACTGATGAAAGGGCATAAACAAAACCATACTAAACTTCACTGATGAAAGGGCATAAACAAAACCATACTAAACTTCACTGATGAAAGGGCATAAACAAAACCATACTTAGAATTTAGATAGAAAATTTGACTGAATTTTATAGAAAGATTTGAGATTGGGATTCACCTGAGAGAAAGATTGCTATCGCAGGAAGTGGCGGCGACTTGAGGTGGCGGCGACTTGAGGTGGCGGAGGCGGCGACTTCAGCGGCGACTTGAGGCGGCATCGGAGGAGGAGGAGGCGGAGGAGGAGGCGGAGGAGATTGGGATCGGGATTGAGGCGGAGGAGATTGGGATTGAGGTGGAGGAGAAAGAGGAGATTGGGAATTTTAGAATTTGGGATCGGGTTTTGTTTTTGGTTTTAGGAATACGGTGGGCGGGCAAACGGGCGGATAAACACTGCCCATTTAGCGCCCATTTAGAATAATGTAAAATGAACCCGCCCAATTAGACCCATTTAATTAAATCGGTGGGCGTTGGGCGGGCCAAATGATGGGCGGGTCAGGTGGGTAAATGGGTATGTGTTAAAATTGACATCCCTATATGGTAGGAAGATAATCAATCCATACAAAGGATAACATCAAACTCGAACATACGCAGGACGATCAAATCGATCACGAACTCAGAATCGTCTAAGCTGATGATACATCTCCTACAGATACTTTCTGAGAGGGACACCTCTCCCAAAGGAGTAGATACTGATAAAGGGATGTCTAAAAGCTAATCTACAAGCTAAAGTCTAATCATAAAATCATAGGAGATGAAAGAATGCCAAGCGCCTGAATCAAAAAGTATACGGGCTGAAAAGGAGTTCACAAGGAACGTACCTTCCACCATGGCCACGCTCGCACCATGATTACGAGGAACAACTGCATACACTTTACCAGTAGCTGAAAGCTGCTACGCTGAATCGTCTAGAACATATGGGACTATTTGTCCCTGTGGAAAATCCTGAATAGCTCGCACTTGTCCCGCAATCCTCAGAACTGCTGGCAGTGCCTCAATCCCCAACTGTTGGCCCTGACCTTGGCCCTAAGCATAGTTCTACTGCTGCTGGTTCTAGTTTATGACCTGTTGGCCTCTTGTAGGTGCGCTACAGCACTCTGATGCCCTGTGTCCAAACTTATAGCAGTTATAACATGCCCCTTGAAATCTACACTACTGCTACGCCCTCTGATCCTGCTGAGGCCCCTTCTTATGGGGACCCTGCTGATGTGAACCCTTACCCTGCTGCTGGGTCCTCCTGA